TTACAGGCAGGGCCCCAACTTGCCAGTTTGCCAGGTCCCTGATGGGCGGCAGAAGCCATGCCACTCAGTGTCCCTGTGCGGGCACTCAGGCCTTCCAGGTGTGGCTGTGTCTTCATGGTGAAGCCAGCCACGGACCCGCCCTCACAGGGCCTGGTTCTAGAGCCTAAGATGCTGAAAGCTGGGCAGGGCTGCCTGCCATGGGCCAGGATTAGTCCCCTCAGGGCCTTGGCCAGGTTTGAAGGACAGGCCTGTCGCCCCAACCTCCTGGACATCTGTAAATAAGGAACCGCCCAGCCCAGGGCTCAGAGCCTGCTGAGCTGTTTGTAAAGTGAGGGGGTGAGTCCCAGAAAAGGTGAGGAGACCAGCCTGGCCCGAGCCCTCCTGGTGGGCCTAGCCCTTCCGGGGCAGCAGCTGCTCTGGGATCTCTTCATCCCTCCTCTCTGCCTGAGACCTGGCTGATCCTGAACCTGACTCCAACACTGGGTCCTCAGGGCCCCCAGAGCCTCCCTTCTCCCCCCTCCCCCTCCCTCCCTGCACATTTGCATGAGGGCTCCTGGTGAGGCAGGAAGTGAGGCCTGCTCTGAACTTGGCATGCTCAGTCCCCAGGTTCAGGTAGGGGCATCAGTCCTACAGCTCCGGACAGAGGCTCACCCTCGGCTCCCGCCCTGAGGGACGACATTTCTGACCGGCTCCTGCACAGGGACAGCACCCGGCACTTCCCCAATCCCCGGACAGGCCAGGAGCCTTTGCTTTTTCCAGAGGAAGGAAAAAATTTCCACAGTAAAAAGAAGGCATGTGTGCTGAGTGGAAGCTTACAAGGGAGAGACACACGGAGTTCAGTGGGGGATTCGGGGCTGGCTGGCTCTGTAGGCCGCTGAGAGTGAGGTGCCCACCAGGCTGCTGTGCTGGAAGGGAGGGTGTTTGTTTCACTTCTCTGAGGGGACCCTCAAAGCAGCAGAGTTTAAGGTGCAGGCAGGGCACGCGCTTTTGAGGCCCAGGCCCAGCACTGGCACAGACCTGCTCCCATCCTATAGCAGACCCTGGAGCAGCTTACTCCTCCTCATCTGTGAGAATGGACATGAGTTGGTTCATGTGGTTGCAGGCTGTAGCTCCCAGCAGACCAGGAAGCAGGTGAAGTCTCTGACTAGAGTCGGTGGCTGTCAGCTGCAGTTAGAATGTGAGTCCAGTCTGTGGGCCTCAGGTGTGGGTGCTAGGACGCCCAGGCTGTCACCTGTCCCAGGTTAGGCTGTCCGCAGCCTCTTGCAGGCAGAGTGTCGGCTGTGTGCCCAGCCAGGGGGAGAGCAGCAAATGCCCCCTCCAAAGCACAGTTCAGCTACCAGACTGGGTTCCCTCCTGTCACGAAGGAGCTGCCTTGAACCCAGATGGAGTGGAACTGGTGGGGGGGCCTGTGTCCTGGTTCCCAGCTCAGCCCATCAGCTGGCACAGCACAGCCCCTGGGACTTCTCCTCCAGAGACCCCTTGGACGAGGACTGCCTGACGGGAATTTAGCTAATGAAGCCACGGCCACAGTGGACCTGTGCCCTCCCCCTGGTTGTCTTCTGGAGCCTCAGCATTTTCTGGATACTTCTTTCAGAACTTATCCTCGAATGACTGAGCCCTCACGGAGCTTAGGAAATGAGGGGCCACTTTATCTCGGGGTGGCAAACCCCCTGCGAGACGGGTTGGCAGACTGTCTCCCTCCTTTGTTCTGAGGATACCTGAGAGGAGCTATTTCAAGAGATTTCACTAAAGGCCAAGAACAGAGAAAAAAGTAAACCAAGAAGATTCTAGATGCAGGAGACCAGGCCCGCCTCTGCCTGAGAGGTGCCATCCCTGCCCCCAGAACAGACTGGTTGTCCCCCTTGACCCTTGATCCTTAACCCTTGCTGGATCAGGAGGGTGGGACTGCGTCACCTCTCTCCTCAGGTCCTTCCACCCCTCCAGGGGGTAGAAATTGAAAAAAGAAAAAAAGGTGGATTGGGGAGGGAGATAAAGATAGAGACTCAGACAGAAAGATGATAGATAGATAGATAGATAGATAGATAGATAGATAGATAATAGATAGATGATAATAGATGCTAGATATAGATAATAGATAGATAGGTAATAGGTAGAAAGGTAATAGGTAGATGGAGCGATAGTAATGGATAATAGGTAGATATTTCTTAACCCTCAATTGCCTGAAAGGGTCCTCCCATCGCCTCTCCATCCAGCTGCTCCTGGGAAGAAGGGACACACGTGAGTGCTTTGGCTGCTGGCCCCGCAGTGATGCCTGGGGGCAGCTCTGCCTCCTGGGCTTCCCGGGAGGAAGGTGTAGTCAGCTCCAGGGCAGCCTGGCCCTCAGGTTGGAAGGTCACGTGATTCTGAATCTCCTCTCAGCCCAGGCTCCCAGGGCCCCAGTGAGTTTGTTGAGCATTTGTCATCCATCCTTCCCCATTCTCACAAGCACCGCCGAGTGGCACCTCAGCCCACAGCCTTGCTGTGGCCGTGGGAGCAGAGCACGAGTGACTGCTCACAGGGCTTTGTGCCTGCAGGGTCTTGAAGAGAGTGATGGCAAGAGAGGTGCAGACCTGGGTTCAGAGCCCAGCCCCTTTCCTCGCTGAGCTCCCTGCACGTTTCTGGAACTTGGCACTTTAGCGTCTCCATTAGTAGAAGGAGACAGATGTGGCCGCTGGCCTGTGGCTGCAGGTGCTCGTGGGGAAGCAGGTGTGATGGGTCATGTTGTGGGGTTCACGAGTTCCTTGCATCCCCCCGGGGCGGTGGGGGCGAGGAGAGGAGGGAGCACGGTTGCCGGACGAAACCCAGTATGCCCAGTTATGTTTGTGCTTCAGGGAAACAATGAAAACTTTTTTGGTACAAGTATGTCCCAAATATTGGGAATCGGGGGGATGGGTGTCCCATATATTTATTTGCTAAATGTGGCAACCCTGCCACACACAGCTGTGGCCCCCAAGTGGAATTGCCGACTGGAGCCAGGACCCCTCCCACCAGGCTCTGTAACCCCAAGTCTCACAGGGGGCCCTGGACTCCTCAGTCGGCACAAGGCTGTGTTTCTAACCTGCTTGAACTGAAGCAGCACCACACCCCCACCCCAAGCTTGATAGGTGGGAGAGAGCCTAACATCAGCGAGCACCGAAGTGATTCGGTCGCCCAGCTCATCCTAGTGGGACAGTCCTGGACCGGGCCTGCCTTCAGGGCGTTAGTCTGGGAAAGGGAGGACATTGCACGCTGGGGTAAGTGAGCTGGGAGGGGTGGGGCGCAGCAGGCTGAGTTCCACTGGCTCAGAGTTGTGGCCCCACCAAACTGCATACTTGTCCCAGACCAACTGCTGTCAGTCTGTCTGTCTGTCAGTCTGTCTGTCTCTATGTCCCCCTCCCATGGCCGTGGGCTCCCCCATCCCCAGGCTCCCTCCACCTCCCCCAGGCCCTTCAGACACCTCAGGCCCCTGAGCTCTCTTTTCCTTTTGGTCCTGGGGAAAGCTGCCGCAGCTTCTCAGACCTTTCCCCTTTGGCTCTTGGGGACACTTGGCTTCTTGGTGTGTGTGTGTGTGTGTGTGTGTGTGTGTGTGTGTGTGTAATACCAAACCAGCATCTGAGCGTAGAATTAACGTTGACCTATGTGGCTGCTCTGTGTACACACGCCTATTTACTTATAAGTACATAAGCTTTTCCATGTGGGCTCCAGAATGGGGTGGCCAGGGTGTAAATCCTGGGGCTCACATAATTAATTTTGTGGCCCTGAATAAGTTACTCAACCTCTCTGAGCCTCAAATCTCCCTCTGCCAACTTTAGATAATAGTAGCATCTGCCTTCAAGGATTGCCTTAACAATCAACTGAGATTCCCTTGCACAGTGTCTGGCATGAAAAAACTCAGGAAATGTTAGCTATTATAAATAGTATGTTTGCAAAGGTGGCTGTGGGACTCTCTCCTTCTTGTAAAAACATGCAGGACAGACATGTTTTCCCGCACCCTGCCCGCCATCTCCGTTCCATTGCTGGCATTTGAACTTTTTCTGTCAAGCGGGTTCTCTCGTGACAGCGGAGGTGTGGCGTCATTGGTGCTCCAGGAAGGCCCTGGAGGCTGGTGCCAATGCAAGTGTGGGGTTTGGAGGAATGAGGATCTGCCCCAGAGGGGTCTGAGGCAAAGGGAAAATAAGAGACAATGTGATGAGGCCAGGGGAGCTTTTCATCCCGGAACAGGGGTCGGGGGGGGGGGGGGGCAGCGTGGCTGATTCCAGTGGGCACACCACCCCTTAGTCCCCTGTGCCCACCTACAAACCACACCGTGCCATGGGGCCTGTGTTTGACCCACACTTCCTGAGAGCCAGTGCGAGGCGGGGACAGTCCAGTGACAGGTTTCACAGTGGCCAGAGTTGCAAAGGACGAGGCTCCAGAGACAGGAGCCTCAGGGAGTGGGAGTAAGGCTGTGGCCTTCTGTCCTAGGCGGCTGATTCTCCTGCTTCTCACTGCTGGGGACCGCTGCACGCTTGTTCCATTTTCGTCGACTCTGGTCTGTGTCTCTCTGGCTGCCACCTGCTTTGGCTTACATGCTGTTTTGGCTCACCACTGATTTCACGCTGTTCTGAGGCACTTCCATCTCCTGCTGCCTCTCCATTCTCCAGTCGAGATCCCTGAGAGGAGGATCTGATTCAGCCAGTCCATCTTTTTTTCAGCTAAGCCACCTGGGCCACTTCAGCCCACAGATGGGTGTCTTTGGAGCAGGCGGTTGAGATGGTGGGGTCAGAGGGCTTGCATAGAGCACTGCTCCCTGACAGAGCTGAGGAGGACAGTGTACCCCAGCTGGGGCCATGGGCATGGCAAGGTCCCCCACGTATATCGGACACACTAGACAGGAGCTGGCAGCCCTTTGCTGACCTGCTGTGCTTTGGGCATTTCCAGAGCAGAGTGGATCTCCGTCGCCCCCCTGGCCAGCAGCCCCCTAATCCGCACAATGGGACTGTGATGGTGGACATCGCTGGGGACCCCTGCACACTTGCTCCATGTGGATGATGGATGACAACACACTCTCTGAACACCCGGAACCCGTGGAATTCCTCAACAACTATCTGAGAGACAACCTGCAGCCCCACCCAGGAGTTCAGCCAAGGGAAACCAGCAGCCGTCCTGACCTGCCCGGACCTTTGCAGGAGCTGACCTGGGCGTCGGACCCCTCTGAGTCCCCGGAGAGGCAAGATGCTCCTGCCAGGGGCTCTAGAGCCGAGCCTGAGAGCCTGGGGAGCGGGTCTTCCCAGGGAAGCCCACGGCAGAACCCCAGCTCGTCCACGCAGGTGGTGTTCTGGGCGGGCATCCTGCAGGCCCAGATGTGCGTCCTGGACCTGGAGGAGGAGCTGGAGAAGACTGAGGGACTGCGGGCCGAGCTGAGGTCCTGCATCCCTGCGGCTCCTGTGGACCTCCCCCCGTTCCCCTCCAGCCCGGCGGGCCCCCTGGGCCCAGGCCCCCCCACCGGCTCCTCCTCAGGAGAGGACAGCAGCAGGCCCAAGGGAGAGAGCCAGACCCAGGTGTCCCCTGGGGAGGAGACGCCAGACTCCTCCCCAGAGTGGGGTGCCGAGGAGGAGAGCCTGTTCTTTGACAACCCCCTCTTCCTGGAGAGCCCCTGCTCAGAGACCAGCACTCCCAGAGAGTGCTTCTCCTGGGGGCACTCCAACTGCTGGGCTGACAAGGACGACAACAGGAGGCCTCAGAGCCCTCAGGCCCTGGAAGGGAGGCCCGAGAGCCCGCAGGCTATCGAGCCACCTCTCCTGCTGGGCAGGGTGCCATGGGGGCTGGGAGATGAGCCAGACTCAGGGGACAGCATGGCTGATTCCAGCGGCCACACCACCCCTCCGTTCCCTGTGCCCACCTACAAACCACACTCCTTCTCCTGGGCCGAACCTGTCCCCACCCCACAGGCTCTCACAGCACCTCCCAGCTGGGTGGGGAGCGAGGTAAGCAGGGCGTTGGGGACCGGCCCGGAGCTGGGCCTGGGGCACAGAAGGACAGGCCTTGCTCTGTGGTCGCCCTACCCAGACACTCTTCAGATGCCAGGGCCTCTGGGGGCCCTGGAGAAACAAAACAGGAAGGCAGGACCAGTGAGGCCTTGAGAATTATGGAAAATGGATGGATGCTGCACTGTCCACTGAATGTGCGCACATTACATCCGTGTCTACGTCTCGCCGGCTCAGGGGCATGTCTGGACGCGGTTAGGTGAAGGGGACTGGCGGCCCCTCTAGGTGCAGCCTGTTCCTGCCCATCCTCAGACTGCACCCTCCCGCCTCCAACACACCCCAACCCCAGACATAGCTGCAGCGGTCAGCGGCCGAGCGCCCTCTGCCCCCAGGAGGTTCTGTCGGCGTCCCTCCTCTCTCTCCTTAGCGAGGGCAGCATTTTGCTACTTTTAGCTCATCATCTCCCATTCCTCCTCCCGCCCAGTGTCAGCGGGTCAGGCCCACAGGACGACAGCATACGAGCTTGCTATCAGCTAGGACAAGTTCTGGGGACAAGAGTGCGAGACAATAGGGGCACAGTTTTCCCAGGGCGGCCTCTGCTGAAGAGATAAGGAAACTTCAGATGGTGGAGCAGGGCTGAGACTCTAATCTCAGAACCCAGAGAGCCGTGGAGGCCTGCTACCCAGAGGGGAACCCCCTCCCTAGGTTGCTGCCTTCCTTCCCCTCCCCCCCCCCCTCCGCCCCGTGTGGGCTGGCCTCTTGGCTCTGGGGCCCTTGGGGTCACCTGAGGGGAGCCTGGGGCCCTGTCCTCATCCTTGAGCTTGCAGGGTGCTCCCGCCGGGATGGCAGACCCTGTCCATGGCCTGGTGGCTGTCGCCCTCCCTATCACACAGCCCCTCCTTGGGCTGATGCTGCGGGAGACAGGGCCCCCTGTCTGTGGAGGGGAGAGGACGGGCCGAGACAACAAGTCAGTGGACATGGCCCAGGGCTGGAGGGTATGGGAATGCCCTGGGCATTGCTTCCCCAGGCCAAACGCTCTCCTCTCCATTTCTTCCCTAAGGCTTCTCTGGCAGGCAGTCTTGACCCTGCAGCCTCCTCTGTGGACGAGGCACTGACCTGGGAAACAGGCCATGCCAGATCTGACCCCAGCCCTGCCACCCATCCTCCTCCTGTGCGTCCTCCGGCAAGTACCTTCCTCTCCCTGTGCCTCCCTGCCCCCTCTGGGAAGGGCTCAGCAGCAGCACTTCTAGCCCACCCCCCCACACCCCCAGGATCCTCCCCTGGACAGCAGGGAGGGGTGTGTAACTTAGTCGTTCTCCTCCCTCTCCCTCCCCTCTCCCTGCCTGGACTCCCGTTCACATGGATACCCTGTGCCTCTCAACAGGCCCTGCCCAGTCCTGAGGGCTGGCAGACCGAGCAGGGTCCTTCCTGGCCCCAGCTGCCTCTTACCTTCCAGGACAGAGGTGAGACCCGGGGGTGGGGAGGCTGGGACATTGGGCGGTGGGAGGCTTTGCCATCTGGAGTGGGACAGAGGTCATTCTTGGATCGTGGGTGTCATGAAGGACCCATGGTACCTGTTAGGCAGACCGTGGGATTAAGTGCTCCCCTCACTGAGGAAATGTGTGGGGACCCAGGTTTCAATGCCTGGTCCAGTGGTTTACCTGTCCTGAGCCTGGCCGCCTTGGGGCTGGAGTCCCGGGAGCCCTGTGCCCCTGCACGTGGGAGGATGCTGCAGGAGGAGGGACTGGACGTGCTGCCCAGCCGCAGGGAGGAGCCCAGGGAGGAGGCGGAGGGCTGTCTGTTCTGCCAGGCCCCTGGGCCCCCAGCCTGCTGCTCGCCCCCTGCCAGCTCACTCCGCTCTCCCTCAGGTGACAGAGATGCCGAGTGTCCCCAGGAGCCTGCTCCCTGCACCCCTGCCCCGGGCCCCTGGTGGGGCCCAGCCTCTCTGCCGGAGCCCAGCAGCCCTGAGTCTGGGAGCGGAGGCCTCGGGCCCAGGCCCAGCCCGGTGTCCTCATCCTCCTGGGAAGGCAGCCCGCAGTCCCAGGACCGCCACCCCAGCACCGTCTTCCCCACGTGGACACTAGACGCTTCCTGCCTGGCCCTCCTGGAGACAGACGGGGCACAGCCTTGGTCCTCAGAGACAGAGGAGGCCCCAGAGGCCCCAGACCCAGGCGAGGAGGTGAAGAGTGAGGGCCCTGCAGGCACTGCTGACACTGACACCAGCGGCGCTGTCCAGCCCGATGCTCACCTGGCTTCCGCAAAAGGGTAAGTGCGGGCTGGAGAAGCTCCTCAGGTGCGTTGGGGAGCCCTGATCTGGGAGTGGGAGCAGTGCATGCAGGGGTTTGACACTCCTGTAGTTAAGGCAGGGTTATGTGCCCAGCACCAACAGGGCTCTGAGGAGGATGGGGTAGGTTTGAAAGCATCAGAAACCAAAGAGCAGACAGTCGTAACATGGGGTGGGATTTGAGTCAGAGCCTGTCCAAGGCTGGACAGCAGGAGGGGTGAGTGTTCAGGAAACCTCGCCAGGCCATGTGCCCAGAGAGATGGGAGTCGTGCCACGTAGCTGTGGGGCGTGGGAGGTCAGAACATGTGACCTGGGGTTACGCAGGCTCTGACTCTGAGGGGTCACCTGGGAGAAGCTCCCATAGGAGTCTGGGCCCGGGAGCTGGCTCAGATCTCAGGGGAGCTGGAGCACCATGGCCGGCTTTCCTGGGACCTAAGGGAAAAGTTTGGGGGCCCACAGAGGCCTGAGTAACCCCAGAACTGAGGCCAGAGGTGGGAACGGGCCAGGTGGGAAGCCAGCTGCGTTCTACCCCTCTGTACGCTGGTGAAGACACCAGCCCCGTGTGCTCTGGCTGGCCAAGGAGAGGTCATGCTGAAGAGGCTAGGAGGAGGTGGTAGCGGTGCAGGTCCCGGACCTGAAGCTGCACTGGCTGCAGGGTCAACCCCACTCCCATCCCCGTGCCCCTATGTGTGGCTCAGAGCCCATCCTATCAGATCACAGAGCCCTCCCATCAGATCACAGAGCCCCTCCTCTCAGAACACAGAGCCCCTCCCATCAGATCACAGAGCCCTCCCATCAGATCACAGAGCCCCTCCCATCAGATCACAGAGCCCTCCTCAGGCACCTGGCCACTCCGCTGTCCGTGGAGATCCAGAGGCTGGGCCATAGCGGGGTCTCAGAATCTAGACAGAGAGGGGCACTACTAAAATTAAAGTTACTTCAGCCCAAAATAAAACAAGGAAATCCATCTCAAATGAGAACCATACTTCTGTGGTAAATAATGAAAGGTTTAATTGGAGCTTCTTGATAAGTGATACTAAAGATTTCATAAATAAGCGTATTGAGTTTTATATTTAACACAATATAAGAGGTTTAATTTTCCTGGCACAAGCTTTGTGACCCAATAGCTATCTTTCATTCACACTTGACTTTCACAATGTGATCAGAGACTTGTTTTAATTTATTTTATTTTATTATTTTATTTTATTTTATTTTATTTTATTTTATTTTAAACAGCTCTGTTAAGATACAAGTCACTCATTGAAAGTATACAGTCCATGACCATATATATTTACAGAGTGGGTTTTCCCTCCAAAGTGTCTCTTTGTCCAGATATCATTATAGGAAGAACACCAATTGACAAGGTCATTTTGGTAAAGTATTTTAGGGCTTCGTCAGTTGATCATCCATAGAGTTAGTTGTCTTAAATGGGACAAGTGTGTCTGTTTTAGTTCCTGCTCTTCACTGTTTGCTGGACTAGCTCTCCCGGCTTCTCTGTCAGTGGTTCCCCGCGTCTTCCTGCACCGCTTTTGCCAACTTCACGAAAGCCTGGGAGTTTTTGCCAGATTTGTAACTTTACTTTTCAGTTGGTTTGTATCCTGTTTGCCCTGCCCTGTTGGGTGTGTCTGTGTCAGGACCTTGTAAGAAGTTACCAGCAGACACTAGCCGTTACTTGGAGAGAGGGCCATTTATCAGTGAAATTCTCACGTTATGATGAGTTCTGCTTCCCTGCACAACCCCTCACTGTGGCAGCTTGGATAACGAGCATTCAGATAATGAAGATACCAGGGCGGGGTTGTGCTGTTGCCAGGGAAACCGGAGCATTGGGAGGAGGTGGGACTGGTGACCTCTGAGGGTCTGAGTGTCAGGCTGAGCCGGTGGGTGGCTGGCCTGCACTCACTCATCCCAGGCAGCCGACCTGTCCCGTCCCCACGGGAAGGCCTTTCTGTACCAGGGCACTAGGGAGAGATAGCGCAGGCCGATGCCCCAGCCTTCACCATCCCGAAGCCAGCCTGGCTTCCTATTCTTGCCTCATCTAAGCACCTTCCTCGGTCGCAGGTCTAGCCGTGGGAGCTGGAGTCGGAGGGTGTGGGAGGGACAGGGTTCCTTCTGAGGGTTCCTCCACGACCTGATCCAGAACCCTTTTGTGCCCATCGACTGAGAGTGAGGGCTCTGGTGGCCTTTTGCAGGCTTCCTGAGAGCCCCATGCCCCAAGGGAAGTCCCCAGAGGAGGGCCAGGGGCCGCAGGCTGCAGACAAACTGGCCAATGGCGTCAGGACGGACAAGCGGGCCTGGGACCTGGCCTCCCGCCTCTACCGCCTGGAGGGTTTCCGGAAGTCCGAGGTGGCTGTGCACCTGCGGAAGAAGTAAGGGGCTCAGCCTGAGCGAGGGGCCCTTGGGTGAGGTGGGCAGGCTTGTTCCACCCCCCTCCCCCACCTCAGTCCTCCAGCCCATTGCTGACTCTCACCCCATCTTCCTGTCCTGGTGGTACCCTTCCCCTGTCCAAGCCTTCCTCTTCCTGTCTCACTGGTGTCACCCCTTCTCCACGCCCTTGACCCAACTTAGAGCCACTGGATTGTCCACTTTGCCTCTGCCCTGATCACATGTGGCCTTGCCACCCAGCGTGAGGAGGGGACCGGTACAGATTAGACCCTGGCTGTCCCTTGCCCTCTCGGGACCCAGGGTCCAGCTGGCTGGGCCTCTGCCTTGCTCGGGGGCCCCAGTCCCAATTCCTAGGCCCTGGGATGTGTGCAGCCCTGGGGTTCCCTCTGCACCTGTGCCTCCTGCCCCCTCCTCCACCCAGACATGATCTCCACTTCCCTCCACAGCAATGACTTCAGCAGGGCGGTGGCTCAGGAGTACCTGTCCTTCTTCCAGTTCGGTGGCCAGAGCCTGGACCGGGCCCTTCGGTAACGCCTGGGCCCTCCCTGGGGAGGAGGGGTGGCTGGGCAGACCCTGCCCGAGCTCGGGGCCTGCTGTCCAGCCTGGGCCTGTCCTGATCCGGGCCTCCTCCCAGGAGCTTCCTCCAGGCACTGGTGCTCAGTGGGGAGACCCAGGAGCGGGAGCGAGTCCTGTTCCAGTTCTCCAGGCGCTTCCACCACTGCAACCCCGGGCTCTTCTCCTCAGTAGGTAGGAGCCTACGCGGGAGTTCCCTGGTGGCAACTGGTGGGGTGAGCTTGGGGGCTGTGGAGATCTAGAACCGCCAGTTGGGGGTCCCTGCCCATTGTGGGCAGAGGGAGAGCCGAGTCCGGTCCCAGCACTTTCTCTCCACTCCCCTCTCTGGGACAGATTCCGTGCACACCTTGACCTGCGCCATCATGCTCCTGAACACGGACCTGCACGGCCCGGTGAGCATGTGGGGAGGGCGTCTGTGGGACCTGAGGCCTAGGAGGGGCCAGGAAGGACCGTGGGGACCTGGAGAAGGTTCCAGAGTGGCTGGTCGGGTGTTCCCTCCTGGTGGCGGGTGCCAGCTGTCCCACTTCTCTCCATGCCACAGAACATTGGGAAGAGCATGAGCTGCCAGGAATTCATAAACAACCTGAACGGCCTGCAGGACGGCGGGAACTTCCCCAAGGAGCTGCTGAAGGTGCGCTGCCAGGGCTGCCCACGGAAGGCTCCACCCGGGCCTGCGCCTGGCTCCCCATCCCCGGAATGCTGCACTCGGGTCTGGGCCTGGCTCTGCCCAAATATGCTCCAAGGACAGGGCCAGAGTCCTGACTGCAGGGTCACCATGGGATTTGTTAGCTTGTGCAAGTGCCCAGTCCCGCCCTGGGCCTCCTGGACCAGATTTCTGGGGCTGGAGCCCCGACATGGTCACAAAGCTTAATTCTGAGGCCTGTGAAATTGGGGAAGCACTGGGTTGTTTTTTTTCTTCTTCTCTAAGTGAAAAAAGGCAACACTTTTAAGAGAAAGTCTAGAGCCAATGCTCCAGCATTTGAGTCCTTGTCTTGGACAACTTGGGTTCCTCCTGGGTTGAACCACTTAAGTGTTGTTATCACGACATCCAGTGAGTCAGGAGCTCACACAGTGCCTGGCACACAGTGTGCTCTTTATTAATAATCGCAGCATTTGTTCCCGTGTCCTTCAGTGAGCATTTATTGAGCACTTACTGTGTGCCAGGCCCCTGTAGGTGTGCCCAGGACTACACAAAACTGGCAGGATGCATCTATGTGAATACTGTTATATCACGTAGAAGCTCGGCACCTCATCCTTCATTCACTGTGGTCATTGGCTCCATCAGTCAGCCGGCCTGCTCTGCTCTGTCAGGCCTCTTCGTGCAGGATGGCATGTGGATGAGTCCTTTCCCTTGGAGAGAAGAAGTTCAGGCCTCGCTGAGCTCAGGTGGAGACTAGGACAGCACAATGTCTGGCACCTGCCAAATGCTCCATGAACGGCTGCATGCGTGTGTGTGTGTGTGTGTGTGTGTGTGTGTCTGCACAGATGAGCTCCTTCCCATTCACGGAAGGGGGGCAGCTGTATTGGGGCGGAAGAGATAGGCTGCAGCAGCCCGCCCCCCCTACTTCTGCCAGACAGAGTCTGGGCCTCACAGCCTGGGGCTCCGTGACCACCATGTGCCTCTGTTGCAGGCCCTGTACTGGTCTATCCGGAGTGAGAAGCTGGAGTGGGCCGTGTAAGTGACTTTCCCTCCCCACACTCCTCCCTCACCTCCGCCATCCTTCCTTCCCCCCAGCCTACCTGGGGGCAGGTAACACCTGAGGAGCCAGAGGCAGGGGAGTGGGGAAGACAGGAACAGATGGGTTGCTTTGAAAGATTTCTTCTGGGGTCTACTGAGATGTGGCTCCCCAGTGAGAGAGAAAGAGTGGGGGACCCTGTCGGCACCTCAGCCTGCTTCTCTCCGTTCAGGGACGAAGAAGACGCGGCCAGGCCTGAGAAGGCCCAGTCCTCACCGCTCGGTGGCAAGATGAGCAGCCCCTTCCTGCAGCTGGCCCCGGACCCCACGGGGCCCACCTACAAGCAGGGCATCCTGGCTCGGAAGATGCATCACGACGTGGACGGCAAGAAGAGTGGGTGTCTCCTTTGTGCGGGGCCTCTGTCTGTGGGGGTGTGGAGGGCTCTGCTCAGGGGAGCGTGCTGACATGTGCATGGGTGACAGGCAGCCCACGGAACTGCCTGGATGGTGACTGTGTGAGGCACCACTGGGAGGGTGGGGGGCAGACCCAGGAGGGACCAATATTCTTGCCCCCGAGCCCTGTGCTGAGGCAGAAGCCAGATAAGCCATCGGTGTGGGAGCAGTGTAGGAAGGGCCAGTTGAAGGATGGGCTGTGGAGGGGGCGAGGCTTGGGGTTTTGTTTGGGTGGATGTGGGAGACAGGCGCGTTAAGGCTCCTGGGAAATGATGAATCTGAGCGGAAGCTCAGAAGGTCTGGGTGTCTGAAGGTGGGCAGAGGGTGAGCCCATGAAGAAGGAGCAGACATAGTTTGTTCCAAACATGGGGTGTGTGAAAGAGAACGCTGGGACACGCACTGGGGGCAGCATCACCCGGGTCTGCATTTGGGCCTTGTGCCCACATGGCTGGAGCTTTAGAGCAGGCAGCAGCAGGAATCCCAGCCAGGGCACCAGCCAGGGCACCAGCCAGGGCACCAGCATCCTACAGGCCCATGCAAGGCAGTGACCACAGGGAGCAGGCCCTCTCCTGCCCACGGGCTCCGCCCCGTGCCTCTCTGGAAGGACTCAGGAAGCCGAGGTCACCCGCAGGGACTGAAGGATGTCCGAGCTGGGGCTGTGCAGGGGGTGGGTGTGTCTGGAGAGGGGATGGTCTGTCGAATTTGTTGTTTGTCAATAGTTCTCATCTGTTTGGGTTTCCGCATGTGACTGCCTGTGTGTACAGTGTGGCACATGCCTGTGTGTGTGACTGTGTTTTGTGTGTCTGAATGATGCTTTGTGCACCCGGGACTGGGGGGCTGGAGCTGGTGTGTGAGGGGTGAAGAGGGGGGCCTGGTGTGTCTGAGGGCATCTGGGCGCGGTGCCCCCACTCACCTGTGCATTCTGCTCCTGGGCAGCGCCATGGGGCAAACGTGGCTGGAAGATGCTGCACACCTTGCTCCGAGGGATGGTCCTCTACTTCCTGAAGGTAAGGGTGCTCACATTCCGATGCATCGGAGGGGGGAAGGGCCTATCATGGCGGGGGGGGGGGGGGGGGGCAGGGAAGGCCTAGAATGAGGTGTGGGGGGGTGTTAAGGGGCTGCTACTGAGCACCTCTTTTCTGAGCCACTGTGCCCTGTGGCAGGGAGAAGACCACAGCCCCGAAGGGGAGAGTTTGGCGGGGCAGATGGTGGACGAGCCCGTGGGGGTGCACCACTCGCTGGCCACGCCGGCCACCCATTACACCAAGAAGCCACACGTCTTCCAGCTGCGGACGGCCGACTGGCGCCTCTACCTCTTCCAGGCACCGTGAGTCTGGGTGGGAGGCCAGCAGAAGGGCCCCACTTCCTGTCCCCTGAGCCCTGCCCTGATGGGGCTGCCGCCTGGACCAGCAGACATTAGCAGCCTTGCTGAGGGCTCTGATGCACACTAAGCAGGGCTCCCGCAGCCCCGCCCTGCCCTGCCTGGCCCACAGCCCACCTGGCCAGTGAGGCTCTGCCCCATAAGCACAGGTCAGCCTCCCAGTTTTGAACAGAGGATTCAAGGGTAACAATGACATTTTGGGGGGCATTTGATAGAAAAGCTGTTGTTGTCCGGATTTTCCTCTTTGATGAAGGGGAAATACACCCGTGGTCAGCCACTGTGCTAGCCATAGGGCTTCTGGCTTCTTGAGGCTCCAGGCCTGAGATGCTGGACAGCAGTGAGAACACAGGAGCTGTGGGTGGGGGTTGGGGGAGGTGGGGTAAGCGACAGGACAGATTCTGAGGCCCTGGGGACCCCTGGGGACCACCGCCTCCCTGCCCTCACTCAGCACTGCCAAGGAGATGAGTTCCTGGATCGCGCGCATCAACCTGGCCGCCGCCACGCACTCAGCGCCGCCCTTCCCCGCCGCCGTGGGCTCCCAGCGCAGATTCGTGCGGCCCATCCTGCCCGTGGGCCCTGCCCAGAGCTCCCTGGTACGGCCTGAGGGAGGCGGGTGGGGCAGGGCGGTGTGGGGGCGGAGCACGCACTGGGAGACTAGAGCAGAGATGGGAGCGCGGGACTGCGCACCTGGCCCCCGGAAGGAGGAGGGCTGCTGCACACCCGGACCCGGGAAGGGGGATGAGTCTGCACACCTGGCTCTGGGAACTGCGGGGGTGGGGTGGGCTGCGCACCTGGGCCCAGAAGGAGGGGGAGCTCGGGATTGCTTCTCCCAACGCCTCCTGCAACTAGGAGGAGCAGCACCGGTCCCACGAGAACTGCCTGGACGCTGCTTCCGACGACCTGCTGGACCTGCAGAGGAACTTGCCTGAGCGGCGGGGCCGCGGCCGGGAGCTGGAGGAATACCGCCTGCGGAAGGAGTACCTGGAGCACGAGGTGAGCCGCCGGCCCCCGGCCGCCCTCTCGTGGCCGCATCTGGCCCTGCAGCCTTCGCTCCCCTGTGGCTCAGGGCAGGCGAGGTGCTGTCTGCACATCTACCTGTGCTTGCGCAGGGTGTGTGCCCTGTGTTCTGGGATCGTGGACCAGCCGCTTATCTGAAACACTAGTAGGGGAAATTATTTTTATAACTGTTTTCTCCTAAGAGTATATTTGGCTTTTCTTAAGTTGAAGGAAAAAGTATTTTAGGTTATTTCCCCTAATACCTACCTAATAATAATAGGCTGCATTTGTGGCGCTGTATTACTTGCTGGGATTATCTAACTAAATTATCTAACAGCTCTGGGGTAGGGGCTATGATCCTCATTTTATAGGTGAGGAAACTGAGGCATGGAGAGAGCAAATAAGTCATCCAAACTGATGCTACTTCAGTCCTTCACAGTCTTAACAAAGGAATGACCTTTATTAGCTCTATGATTGACCCAAAATGTTTTAACCCCCAGCCCCCCACCCAAAATTCTGCTTTGGCCTGACATTGATGCACATTCTAGAATCTAAGCAGCAAGTGTAGGTGAGGGGCAGTGTGACAACAGAGGGGTCAGAGGTGATCCAAAGGCAGAGACCAGAGACGCAGTAGTCAGTGTCACCTGCTGGCTGTACCACCCTCACCCTCCTGGTCATTCCCTCTGGCTTTTTGCTGCACTCGTGGCAGTGAGCACACCATTTCTCAGAGGCCCAGGCGTGGCCAACAAGAGCCAGGTCTGCCTGCAGAACTCCAGCCCCTCCCAGCAGAGCCCGGAGAGGTCTTTAGCAGCTGCTAGCCCCTCTGGGGCCCTCCAGTCCTTTATAAACAGGCTCATGATGGTGCCCCACCCAACCTCCCAGCCTGGGACAAGGAAACGACCTCATGGGGTGTCCCCCCACCCCTGGGGCTGGGATAATGGCCTCACGGGATGGAGGGTGAGAAAGCATGGACCAAAACGGAAACTGTATCTGGAGGTGCTAGTTACAGGGTCCTGAGGAGTGTGAGCTGACGAAGGCTGTTTGCATCATGCTCTCCAGATGCCAGTTGTTACCATGCTGCTCAGCCTCAGCCAGGTTTCAGCGCAGGCCTGAGCCATCGTGTGCAGTGCTGCATGGGCCCCAGGCCTCCTGGGTCCTGGCCTCTCAGTGTCCGGGAGATGGTGATTATAGCTCACATGGTGTTAGCTGTGAGAACAGGGCTGGCTGGCCCATGTTACTGTAACAGTCAGAATAGTGGCAGGGCTCTCACACGCTGCTGCTTTGTTCTGCAAAGTCTGGTTACAGGTGCGACACTGCCGCTCGCTGTCAGTCCAGCCCTCACTCTGAAGCAGTTTTTATTTTTATTTATTATTTTTTAAAATATATATTTTATTGATTTTTTTTTTTGCAGAGAGGAAGAGAGAGGGGTAGAGAGTTAGAAACACTGATGAGAGAGAATCATCAGTCAGCTGCCTCTTGTTCACCCCCTACTGGGGATGTGCCCGCAACCAAAGTACATGCCCTTGACTGGAATCAAACCTGGGACCTTTCAATTTGCAAACCGACGCTCTATCCACTGAGCCAAATTGGTTTCAGCTCTGCAGTAGTTTTCATTGTCACAGCTTCATACACACGCTATCTGTCCACCCCTCAGGATTCCAGCCTCCCCCCCGACCGGGAGCCAGGGGGTGCTAAGGTGGGGTGCCTGTGTGTTGCAGAAAACCCGCTATGAGATGTATGTGCAGCTGCTGGTGACCCGCCTGCACTGCCCCTCGGACGACCTGGACCTGTGGGAGGAGCAGCTGGGGAGGGAGGCTGTGGGCCCCCAGGAGCCCAAGCCCAGCCTGAAGAAGTCCCACTCCAGCCCCTCCCTGCACCAGGACGAGGCCCCCACCACCGCCAAGGTGAAGCGCAACATCTCCGAGCGCAGAACCTACCGGAAGATTATTCCCAAGCGGAACCGCCATCAGCTGTGAAGCGTCACTCACAGACCTCGGCCCCTGCACTGGGGCGGACCTGGGATGAAGCCCTGTGGGATGGAGGAGAGGCCTCTGCTAAAGGACAGCCATCTGTGCTTGCCCGAGGACTGCTCTGCCCTGCCCCGCCCCTGTGGCAGGTCCTCAGGCAGGTCCCTGGCCACTCATGAGGAAGGTGGGAGGCCAAAGATTTGGCTCCTCTCCCGAAGTTTGCTCCATGTCACTCTTCACTCCTCCAAATCCAGAATGGCCCCTTTTCCTGGGCCTGGGGCAGCTCAGCCCTTGGGGAAGCAGAGCAGATGGTCCCTGTGCTTCCAGGAGAGAGCCTGGGGCAGCCGAGGCCTGTGGGCGGTCAGGCCCCGGGGATAGTCTTGCTCTGGGAATCAGGTGACCTGCTGGGAGAGGTCCAGGAAGACCCCAGCGAGCCTTCTGTCGCCGGGTCCTGCTCAGGGTGGGGCTGCTGTCAGGGACAGGGCCCTGTGAGGCTGGCTCTGGGACTGCACCTTTGTCTCCTCAGCCCTACAGTGGGCTCTGCAGGGCCAATGAGCACCCCACCTCCCATGCCCAATTGCTAATCAATAGAAAAGAGCCAATGGCCCCAAAGCGGTGGGGGCTCCAGTGCTCTGGGGAGCCCTGAACAAGGGGCCTTTGTGTCCCCAGCGCCAGGAAAGAGGCTCAGATCCCTGGGGAGGCTGAGGTGGAGGTGGTGACACAGCCCCTGGGGCTCTCCTGGAAGGAGCTGCTGCTGAGGAAGGGTTGAGAGTCAGGGTGGAGGCCTGGACCCCCTCCCCACATCCCAGCCCGTACAGCTCCATTCCCCAGGGGCACCAGGCCCCTCTGGGCCCTGCCCTCCCTGTGTGTTCCCTGGAGCGACCCGCAAGGTGGGGGGGGGGTGGTTCTGGACACCCACGGATCTGAGGCTGTGCCATTGGGAAGGAGGCTGGGCTGGGGGAGCAGTCACCATTGTCTCTGTTCAGCCAAGTGTGCCCACAGGCTGCCCGCCAAGAGGGGCCTCTCTGCCTGCCTGCCGCCTGCTGGCTGACGCACTGCCGCTCCACCTTCCTGCCGGCCTCCCCCTCGTCCATGCTTGTAACCAGCTCTGTGGCCTGGAACTCCCCCAAGCTGGGCTGGCCCTTCGGGGCCACGAGAGGTTTCTGACCAGAGCCCGGGGCTGAGCCATGCACCCAATGGGTGTGCAATAAATACAGGCCAGTGAAGAAAGGTGTGCACGAGTGTGTGATTGGGGTGGTGGACAGCTGTTCTTTGTCAGGCTGTATCCCCTATGCCCTGTGGGCATAAACCCATCTATGAGTATGTATGTGTGTCGGCATGTGCATATGTGTTTATATGTATCTCTGTGTCTGCATGTATATGTGTGTTTGCATATGTGTATGTGTGTCTATATGTCTGCATGTATATGCCTGTCTTCAGGTGTGTTTGTGTGTGTGTGGATGCATGTCTGTGTGTGTGTCTGTTCATGTGTATAGAGGGGTGTGTGTTTGTGTGCAGGAGTCACACATTTACTATCAAACTGGAGGGGACCTCAGAATCGTTTATTCACGCACTGGTTCATTTATCCATTTCACAAAAAATATTGACACTTTTCATGGACCAGTGCTAAGGAGCTAAAAATGAATGGACCACATCCCTGACCCCCGGGAGATGATAGTGCTGCTCTGGTTCCCAGCTGTTGGCATGGAAACACTCATCTCTCAGTGCGGTGAGCGGAAGATTCCATCCCACCTGCGATGAGGGTTTGGGTCCTGTAAGGTTTGTTCCTGGGCGTGAAACTAGCAACCCTTAGGCCCTGCGTCGCCCTGATACAAACACAGGTAACAGCGCGCAGAGTCCGATGGCCCTGTGTTATGGAGGTGGAAGCCTGGTTTCAGGTGAACGTGACTGGGCTCAGAACTGACAATTAAGCTCAATGGCCTTGGATTAGGTGTTTGACTTCACTGGATGCGTATCCTTATTCTAAAACAAGAGTGAAAGGAGAGGTATGTCTGCCTGTGGGCATGTGTATAACACTTGATGCTTCTTTGCTCATGAAAAGCTGGCACCTCCTTTCACTTGGGCACGTGAGGCCTGTGGAGCCAGGGGCTGGTGCCCAGGTCCCAGCCAGTGTTGCCAGGCTACTCATGCCAGAGGCCTGGCGGGTGGAGACTGGGCTGTTGGGCTGCAGTCATGGTGGGTGGCCACGAGGGGGCGGGCTTGCATCTTCCTGGCTTCTGGGCCCAGGTGCTTGCTGCAGCGCTGGGCTCACTGATGGCAGGAAGCCAGACTGTGTCCTCTACAGAACCAGGAGTGGCTCAGGCCAGGCCTCTCATATCCAAACACGTCTCCACCACACAAAGGGTAGGGACTTTGACATCATCCTGCAGATGAGAGAGAAAATCTTTCTGCGGCCTTATGGGGACAGCCTAGAGCAGCGGACTGGTGGTCTGAGAGGTCCGAAAGGCTGCCGACCGCCGGCCTGGAGCTCCCCACCGAGCTGACCCCGGTGACCTAGGAAAGTGAAAAAAGCCCAGTCCTGGGCGTGGGGCCGTCAGACCCTCCAGCCTATATTTGACCTCACCTCCCTCTCCCCGAGACGAGCGGGGTGCTGCAAGTTGGCAGAGTGTGTCTGTGTCCTCCTTCCCCTCCAGGGGAGCTCAGGCTCCAGGGCCCTGAGCTGCCCTGACCAGGGGGGAATGGACTCTTCCTGCCTTCCAGCATCGGTGAGGTCTGGCTTTCTGCTGGTGACATCCTGTGGTTTGCCAGGCACCGCAGAAGAATAAAAGGCCACAAGGCCTCAGCCTGGCTTTTCCTCTGGAGGCTCAGAGTCAGAGGGAGACAGGTGGGGTGCATCGGGGTTGGAAGGAGCTGGGCTGGAGGGTGGGGGAGGCAGGTTGAGGAAGGCACAATATAAGAGGGGCCTCGAGGTCAGATCCCCAAGAATCTCATGTGAAGCCCAGGAGTGTGGCTTTCCACCAAAAGAGGGACGTGCAGGGCTTGGAAACAGCCCAGGAGCCTTGCTTTCAGGGGACAAAACGATTTGAGTAAGGCCCACTGGCAGGGTCCGAACATGGCCTGGAGATGGTCTTGTTCTCTTATTATAATAGAGTAACTCTGTAAAAAAACAAAACAAAAAACAAACAAAACAAAACAAAAAAAAACGGGGGTTGGGGGAAGGAGGAGGGACAGCGGCCTGGAACCTAGGACCAGGTGGCGATCCCACACCTGGCCCTCCTCCTCCCTTGTCCTCCAGCCCCAGGTGCTCCCAAGGATTTACAGGTGCCAGAATTCCTGCTCTCTCATGGCTCCTCCCACCGCCCCTCCGCCAGCACCTGTGCCTCCAGCTCTTCTGGATGCCGCATCCCTCACCATCAACTATGGCTCACACGTTTACCTGCCCCTTCTTCCTCCGTCTCCAGAGGGAGAGGTGCTCTTTGCGTTCCTGAGTGGACAGACCCCTCTCCTGAGCCCACACACAGCCCATCAGCTCCACCCATCACCATGAAATGGGGTCCTGGCTGCTCCATGGGCCTAATCTCCACCCTCTTCACCATCCTGCCTTGCAAACACCTTTAAGTCTCCCCTTCATGAAGAAAAAGATGCTATTTTTAGCCATTTCCCTCCCTTACCTGGCTCCTCGCTCCCTCCCAGCCACAACTAGCTAACAGGCTTCCACCTGCCCCTCCCTCACACACCACCACCCAAAAGAGCACACGGAGGACCCTCAGTCATCAGGTCCAGGGTCTTCTCTACCTTCCTTCTTCTTCCTTCTCAGTGACCTTTGGCCCCCTCGGCCATATGACGTGTGACCTGGACAAGGCCATCGTGATGTGGCCTTGGCAGCAGACTCTGGAGCCGAGTCCTAGCTGTCCCACATGTCCGACCAGGGCCCAGTGACTTAGCCTCCTGCGCTCCACCAGCTTCCCTATAAAACAGGATAATCACACCGCTTACCTCATGGGTCCTTGGGGGATTAAGTGAGGGATGCGTGTCAGCATCTGAGAACAATGCCTGGCACAGAAGGACATGGCGCAGGTTAGCTATTAGTGCCCGGCCTCGCTGCCTCACTCACGCACCTGCCCCTCCTCTGGGCTCAGGCTCAGGCTCTGTCCTTGGACATGTGGGTCCTTGAGGCTAGGCCTCTGCTCACGGCTCTTCCCGCCTGGATGCTGCAAATCCCACATCTCAACTCAGAGGCACTTCAGCGGGAAAGGACATGGACTGTCTTCAATAGCTGGATCCTGTGCTCAGGGCAGGTGAGGCGGACTCCAGCTCCCTGGCTCTAGCTCCCTGGCGGGGGAGGCAGGAGAAGCCTCCTGGCACCGAAATGGCTCAGCAGCTTCCGTGCACACCTGGCACAGACAGAGCTGCTCCTGGGAGATTTCCTCTGAGCAGCCTGCTCTGGGCCCTGGCCCATCTCAGAGCTGATCACTAGAGTCAGGAGTTTCGGGTCATCAGGACCCATCTTCTGAGATAGGAGTGGGGCAGGGTGGAGGCAAGCTCTCCAAAGGATGGGACTGGGACCAGCTGTGGAGAAACTGAGTTGATCAGGAATGGGAAGAGGAGAAGCCACTGTTGCAGGCGTCACCTCCTGCAGGAAGCCTCCTTGAGCCCTCCTCCTGGCCATTCTCTGTCATACCATCTACAACCCTTGTTCCCCGCTCTGCTCCGAGGAGAGCATGAGCTCCTTGGGTGGTGAGGGAGGAGGTAGGGGGAAGGCCCAGGCAGCCTGGGATCTTCTGGGCCCCACTGAGGGTGGAAAATGTGAGCCTCAAGTTTGTCCTCCCTCAGGTCTGGCACCCAGTGCTCCTGGTTCCACCTGCCTGTTTGTCTTCTGTCTTTCCTTCTCCTGGTCCTCCCACCCCTGGAGTCAGCCTTCCCACAAGCCTGGCCAGGGAACTTCTGGGACTCTTCGAATCTCAGCCGTCTGCCCCATCTTTGTTCTGAATGTCAGAGCTGGAGTTCTAACACCTGCAGGGCGTGGCCCCTCAACAAATCCTCCCGGA